CTGTGTCTCTCTCTGTCAAATAAATAAATAAAATCTTTAAAAAATAAAAAAATAAAAAAAAATAAAAGAGGCTAAGCAAAAAGATGCAAAATAAGTGCAAACAATTCCAAGCAAACCATGGTTAACTGTCTTCACTACAAATAAAATACATACACTCAGAGTGAGAAACTGTGATACCAAATTCCTTCCAGGTATTTCTTACTTTCTTAGAGAGCTGAGGTAGCAATAAAGACATTTACATATACTGAAAGGTTCTACAATTGGAAAACCAAAAAGAGAGACAGAAAGCAGCAGATGGAAAGATGAGGGTAAGGTTCCCACAGTTACTATGGGTGTTACCCCCACCCAATCTCAGTTACCTTGCAGTGAAATATGGCGATCATCGATGCCCAAGGAAACCTGTTCATCCTCGGTGGGAGGCACAGGACTTGATGCCATCCTTTGACTCAACGGAGATTATATCATATCCATCTCAGTTAAAGAAGTGAACTAAAAGTAAAAGGGATAAATGCTCATTAGTGACTCTGCAAGTCTGCATTTCTAGTAAACATGCATTGCCAGAGAGCAACAACAAATGAAAACCGCCCTTCAACAGAAGCAGTTTTCTAGTGAGTGTTTCCGTAGTTCCTGAGGAACAAAGTGACTACGCCTTCTTTTTTGAATCATAATCAAGATTTTGCCCTGTGACCTATCCACGTTGCTGGAAGGACTCCCAACGAGCTAGCACTGTGGATTCTACTCTGGTGGGGAAAAGGAAAGCTACCCAATGAGAACCCATAACTTGCTTTTAGAGGAAGGAAAGTTGACACAAACTGACATCTTAGGCCTTTTTGTGCATTTTATTGTTCACTTCAACCTGCAAGGATTTTCTTTATAACTTTTTATTTAACTTAGTTCCTTTCTGCTCCATAAATGTTGCCATTCACTGGAAACAATAACTGAGCTTGCAGAGCTTGCAAAGTGAAACTAAAAAAAAGTATATCAAAAAGAATGTTTGGATGAGGTTGTCTATTATGTTGAATTATTTTCCCAAGCACTTACTTTTCCACACATTTCTCTCTCAACCCCCACTTTGACTCTTAAAGAATGCTTCCAGTAAGAGTTAATTCTTGCTGTGCAACTCTATTGCTTCATGTATGTTTGCCACTCTTAGCATGCTGAGGGCTGAAAAACTTGACTTTTCCCACACAGATGATGACTTTCTTATCAAAATAAGCCTAACCAAGTATATAAAAATATAAAATGTATTAGGGAATGAATAGAAGAATGGATAAATGTACAGATACCCGATCAAGCAAGTAGAGCAAAACATTAGTGGTAGAATCTGTGTCTTCAGAATATTATGGGTATTCACTGTAAAAGCCTTTGCCTTTCCTGTATATTAGAAATTCTTTATAATAAGGTATTGGGAGGGAGACAACTAAAAATAAACCTGAGCCCAACAGATACAATCAATCATATCCAACAGACCATTTTATGCAAAGAATAAAAATCATCCAACAGTTAATGCTAGAGCCAGACTTCAAAAATCTTTCGGGCCTTGAGTGAAGAGGTTGTGACATTGGCGGGGTTCCAGGCATTTCCTGATCGAGGTTGTTTGTAACGACCAGCTATGGAGTGAGGTCCCCATCAAGTGCAACACTGATGAGAAAATGGAAGACCTTAAGAAGCTGATTGCAGCCCAAAATGGCACCCACTGGAAGAAGATCATCCTGAAGAAGTGGTACACGATTTTTAAAGACAACATGTCTCTGGGGGAACTATGAAATCTAGGATGGGATGAACCTGGAGCTGTAATGCCAATGAGGAGAACTCCTTCCCCTGCCCTGTCCTGCTCTCTCCTCTTCTCCCATCCTCACCCCCACACTGGTATGGATGCTTGTTTTTAAAAACTCATGTTAATAAAATCTTAGAAGTTGCAAAAAAACAACAACAAAACAAAACAAAACAAAACCTTTCAATTCCGTCTTCCCCACTCTGTTTATCATCCAAAACTCCTTTGTTATCTCTCCCATGGATCACCGTTGTTAAAGATTTTACCTACCAAATAAACTGTTTGTTAATTAATAATTACTTTGTCTTATCCTTGGAATTAAGCTGAATCAGAGCCTGCCTGATTTAACAGTGTTACCATACTGAGTTGATAATGCTTCTAATCAAAATGAAAATGCTGTTCAAGTGAGCCTGTGCAGCCGGATGATTGATAAAGCTACAAATGTTCTCAGCTTTTGATGTATTGAGGACCTCTACTACCCCTTCCCATACCCAAGGGCTCCTGAACCCAAAGTGAAGACAAAACACTTCTTCATGATGACAGGAGAAAAACTGAATTCCTGGGGCGCCTGGGTGGCTCAGATGGTTAAGCGTCTGCCTTCGGCTCAGGTCATGATCCCAGGGTCCTGGGATCGAGTCCCGCATCGGGCTCCCTGCTCCTTGGGAGCCTGCTTCTCCCTCTGCTTCTCTCTCTCTGTCTCTCATGAATAAATAAATAAAATCTTTAAAAAAAAAAAACTGAATTCCTGAATGAATTTCCTAAGGGCATCCACTATTCCATGCCAGGACTATATTTTTAAAGGGGGGATAACAGCAATGGTAGCAAATACTTATATAGCACTTACTATACATAGGCACTGTTCTGAGCATTTTGCATATACAACCTCATTCAATCTTCATAACAACTGTAAGAGTTGGGTACTCTAATTATCCCCATATTTGAAAAACCAAAACAAAATGTCACATACAGTTGTCTATGGACACATAGCTAATAAATGATGAAACAAAGATTTGAATCCAGGTAGTCTGAGCTTCAGAGTCTATGCTCTTAAACAATACATGCTGGTACCTCCTGGAGCTGGCTAAAACTGCCATATTTTATTTACTCTTTTTGTCATTCATTTGTTCAAGTGTTTAAACAGGCTAGCTCCTGCTCTCAAGGAATTCAATCTTTTTTTTTTCTTTTTTTTTTTTAGAGATAGAGAGAATGCACATGCAAACAGGGCGGGGCGAGGGGGGGAAGGGGGGGCGGGCAGAGCGAGAGAGAATCTTAAACAGGCTCCATGCTCGGCACAAAGCCCAATATGGGGCTCATCCCACAACCCTGAGATCATGACCCGAGCTGAAATCAAGACTCAGTCGCCCAAGCGAGCCACCCAGGTGCCCCAAGGAATTCAATTTTCTGAGAATGACAAATGAACACAATACTGAGTGAAATCCTCTAATAAATGTATGTAGAAGGTGCTGTGGAAGCAAAGGAGAAGGCACGCCCCACACTTGAAGCCGGAGAGAGATGTGACTGTCAGGAGAGGACTTATTATAAAACAGCATTTCACTCCAAATGATCCCATTAGCATTATTCAAATGATACCTGGAATTTAATAAGAATGTCTCTGAGACATCACTCATTGCCATTCACTATTCATCAAATATAAGGTATTAAATGGAGAGGGAAGACTTTAAAATAAAAACAGAACAATAGAGAACAAATTGCTAACCAGAGAATCAACTGTTTCTGTGCTAAACTGGTAGGTGAGATTCACAACATCGTAAATTAAAGTTGAAGAAAAAGAACGTATTAGTGAAAAGAAGTATAGACCTTAAAATAACCACAGTTGACCCCTGAACATGGGTTTGAACTGCACAGGTCCACTTGTACAAAGATATTTTACAGTGCTAAAAATACATTTTCTCTTCTTTATGGTTTTCTTAACATTTCCTTTTCTCTAGCTCACTTGATTATAAGAATATAGTATGTAATACATATAACATACAAAATATTTGTTAATTGACTGTTACCAGTAAGGCTTCAACAGTAGGCTAATAGTCGTTAAGTTTGGGGAGAGTCAAAAGTTCTATATGGATTTTCAACTGTGTGTGTGGTGAGGGGAGGAGGATCAGCGCCTCTCACCCCCATGATGTTCAAGGGTTAACTGTATTTACCCAAGAGGTTTCTGTTTTTAATAGGGAAAATTTATTAGCAAGCAAGTCAATAAAATATAATTTTTTATTTACTGAAGAATTTCTTAGAGCTTCTAAAATATGTCCATCAAAAGTAAAACTAAACTGGGGCGCCTGGGGTGGCTCAGTCTGTTAAGCGTCTGCCTTCGGCTCAGGTCATGACCCCAGGGTCCTGGGATTGAGTCCTGCGTTGGGCTCCTTGCTCAGCAGTGAGTCAGCTTCTCCCTCCGCCTGCCGCTCCCCGTGCTTGTGCTCTCTCTCTCTCTCAAGACAAATAAATAAATAAAATCTTTTAAAAAAAAGTAAAACTAGGGTGCCTGGGTGGCTCAGTTGGTTAAGCGACTGCCTTCGGCTCAGGTCATGATCCTGGAGTCC